CGAATGCTGGCTTGTTTCACCTTGCTCAGAACTAACTCCGGAGCAGAGGCGTAGCACCAGGAGAAGAACACAGAAGGCCTTGTTCTATATTCTTAACAGCCCGTTCGTTTAATGACCGCTCAATGTTATGACGGCCCTAATGGGGGACGGGGTGTAAAAACACTTGCTGGGGAATTCTGGGAATTAAAGTCCACAAATCTTAAAGTGGTTAAGTTGGGAGACCCATAATTTAGGGGGAGGGTCCCAGGAAGGGGGTCTACGAAGTCTTTTTTTTAAAAAACAATTTTATTTGTGTTTTCACAAAACAAAAAGAAAAAATAAACGTTGTTTTTTTTTAGCGGACAGCATAGTTCCAGGTTTTGACATCTCCACACAGATATAATTTCAGTTACATGTTCATCTTTCATATTCAGTTTCTTATCTTATCATTACTTTATATATTCTCTATCTGTTTTTACTCAAAATACCTCCCTCAATTTTATTTTATAGTTTTCTCATTCATTTCCAATTCTATTTCATTTCCTTTTCAACATTTCCGTATCTTCACAACCATTGTACTTTATACTTTTATCTGCCCTGTTTACGATTTCTACGAAGCCTGAAAATACACACAGAGTTAAAAAAAAAAAAACCACATTGCGCGGTTGTGGCCATATGCACAACAAGGAAGAAGAGGCTGGGCTGCCATTTGTCAGAAATGGTGGAGGATCTCCCGCTTGGGCGGGGAGGGGGGTTGGACTAGATGACCTACGAGGTCCCTTCCCAACTCTGTGAATCTAGCCTGATCTAAAGGGGGTTTTGTTTGCACAATTTGCAAACCCAAAGTGAGGTCTTGGTGGGGGAGGAGGAGGAGGAAGGTGAGGGAAGATGCTCTCTGAGATTGGTGGTTTCCCTGCAGACGTTTCATGACCCAACTAGGTAACATCATCAGTGCTAGAAGGGAGGGGAGTTTGTGGAGTGGAGCAAGGAGGAGGGGGAGGAAGAGGACTGTGAGCTCCTTGGTGCTCTCCAAATCAAGTTGACAATTTCCACCACCAACCTAACCCCCTTCCTGAAATAATCCCTCTTCTCCATTCACACAATCCTCCAGACCAGGTTTCTGCTAAGTCTCCGGAAGTTGAGCCCGCCCCTTTCCCCCAAAGACCCCCACCTTCCCCAAGGCCCACCTCCAAATCAGGAAACCCCCAGGAGGTACCCAAAACTCTGGCTGCCACAAAACCACACAAGGGCAAGAGAAACCCTACTTGGGGGTGGGTGGGCAGGAGGTCCCCCAGCCAGGTCTGACCCCTCCCCAGTTTGGGGGTTTCTCTGTGTAAAGAAAAGAAACCCCTTCGGATGCTTCAACACGCCAGACCCTCATTCTCAGTTTACCAGGTTGCTAAGCAACTGTCTCTCCAAAAGCAAGCATCCATCCAGGGCCCGTGAGCGAGGAACTAAGGGGGCTTTGGTGGGGGAGGAGGGGGAGACCCAGGCCCAAATTCTGACTGAGTGGATTAAATTTGGGGGCTACAAAGGCTGCCAGATGTTCTTTCTTGGGGTGGGGTTTGCGGGATGAAAGGAACGGCATCGGTGTCTTATCACAACTTGTAGAGGACATTTTGAAAACCCCTCCCTGCTACCGGTTCGCCACGGTTCACACAAACCGGTTGCTAATTTTATCGTTTTTTTTAAAATGATCGGTTCGGCGAATCCCGTCCCTGGCTGACCCGCCCCGCCCCCACCTCTCCCAGGAGTCTCCATGCGGCCCGTTTTGGATGCCACATAAGTGCGGGTCCCACGTGGAAGCTCACGGAGGGTGAAAAGGATCTTCCGGAGGCCAGAAATGGGCCCGTTTCTGGCCTCCGGAGCCTGAGGAGGGTGAAAATGCCCCGCCCTCTGCCACGGTGCAGGAGGCCGACTAGGCCACGCCCACTATGGCCATGCTCACCCAGCAACCAGGCAGAGAACCGGTTGCTAAAATTTTTGAAGTGGGCCGTGCTTGTCGGAGGTGCAAACTGCGGGTATCGGTTTGTTCAACTGTTTTGGTGATGCCTAACAATGGTGTCAAGGAAGATGGTAGAAGGGGGACATTCACTTAACCGGCGTCTTTGCTTTTAGCCATGGACATTTGGGGGCTCAATGGTCGTTGAATCGAGGGTGACCTGCAAATCAGAGTTTAAATTGGAGAAGAATCCAAGGATGCCCCTTTTCCGACGCACAAATTTTATCCAAAACCAAGTTTTTTTTGTGAGTTTTGCGTTTTACGGCTCACGAAAACTTTAGCTTTTGCATAAAATTTTTCCCTCCTGGGTTTAGGTTTAATGCCGCTTCTCTTTCTACAAAGCCTTTCATCTGCTATTCCGGTCACTTTCCATAACTAGGCGGAAAGTTTGAAACAAACCACTGAATGAGTCTACGGTTATCTGCCTTTACAGGTGATCCTCGACTTTCAACCGCAAGGGAGGCCCAGTCCTGTTTTGCTAAGTGAGAACAGCTGTCAAGTGAATTTCGCCCCGTTTTATCACCTTCCTGGCCGCCGCTGCGAATTGGATCCCCGCTGTGGTTAGCCACACAGTTGTTAAAAAGTGAATCTGCGGTTGTTGTAAATAGGAGTCAGTTGCTGAACACCTGGATTTTGAAACACGTGACGGTGGGGAACGCTGCAACGGCCGTAAGTGTGAGACAAACAGTCGTAAGGCGCTCTTATCTGTATTTTGACTGAGCATTTTTGCTTTTAATTTTCCTTAATCCACTGGGTTTCCAAGAGCTGATTGGGGATTAGGGATCCTGGAGTTTGCCCCCTTGTGGCAGGTAGCGAGCATTACACTCCTCTCTTCTGGCAGGATTGAACTAACTTGAGTCATTATCCCAAACTAGCCCAGCCGGGTCCAGTTGCTTTTACTGGGTCGCTGGGTTTGTATGGCTGCGTGTGTGATTACACTCCTGCACCACACAGGTAGTCCTCAACATACGGCCAATCACTTAACAATTGTTTAAAGACAGACTCTGCAAAAAAAGGTGATTTTGGCCCAGTCACCAGGAGATGGTGAGTTCTAGTCCTGCCTTATTCACAAAAGCCTGGTGACTCTGGGTCAATCACCACGTGACAGCGAGTTCTAGTCCCGCCTTAGGCATGAAAGCTGGTGACTTTGGGCCAATCACTAGGTGACTGTGAGTTCTAGTCCTACCTTAGGCATGAAAGCTGGTGACTTTGGGCCAATCACTAGGTGACTGTGAGTTCTAGTCCTACCTTAGGCATGAAAGCTGGGTGACTTTGGGCCAATCACCAGGTGACAATGAGTTCTAGTCCTCCCTTAGCAATGAAAACTGGCTGGGTGACTTTGGGCCAATCACTAGGTGACTGTGAGTTCTAGTCCCGCCTTAGGCATAAGTCAGCTGACGACTTCGGCCCAATCACCAGGAGACAGGGAGTTCCAGTCCCACCTTAGGCACGAGACTGGGTGAGCCAATGCCTCCCTCTTAGCCCAGCGCACCTCACAGGGTTGTTGTTGGAAAAACAGGAGGAATGTGTTTTGGATAGGTTTGCCGTCTTATTTACGAAAGTCACAAAAGCAGGGTACACATCAATAAATGAATAACAAATGAAAAAGACTTCCCAATTTATTGAGACTTGTGGAGTTTGGGATCAACTTGGTGAGAAAGACTTCAAATGCTTATGAAGAAACTTTTGCTCAATCTCTTGTTAAAAGATGTAAGCCCGTGGTTCCCTCCCCCCGCCCCCCCCCATCGAAAATAAATCTTGGAAAGAAGGAATTTTGGCTTAAATCTGTAGGAAGCCTTCAGGGCCAAAGTCTATTGGTTGGGCAAAGCCGGAAAAAACACCGATACTGTTGTGGCCAGTGGAGCTGGCGGCAGAGTCAGACAGTGAGGAGGTTGGGGAGGAACCTGGGCCAGTCCTGGAATCTGGGGAAGGTTCGGACGGGGACTCTGCGTCGGAGGCAGAGATGGGGCCAGGGCCATCCGACAGTCATCGGCTGCCTTCGGAGTCAGAGATCAGTGGGGAAGAAGAACAGCTGGAGCCTGTTCCCAGTGTGCTCATGCACAGAGCTGCCAGAAGAAGGGAAGCTAAGAAAGAAGGGTTGACTTGAGAGTAAAGGCACAGGTGGACAGTGAACGGCTCCTCCCAGAGGGAATAAAGAGGACCGAAAAGGGAGTGGGGTTTTGCAGGAGACAATTAGTTCAATTAGGGTGAAGAAGATCTGTTCCTGACTTCTTGCTGCTACAGTGTGGCATTTAGAAGATATCAGCCTGGCAACTCTCCCAGCCTGAGAGTCTGTAGTTGTGAAATCTCATGAAAGACCGTTGGCCGGGACTTTGCTGGAGAGGAATTCCATTTAACCTAAATAAAAGGGGTTTTATCGGGGTGAAGAGTCGGCTTCGTGATTTTGGGGGGCGAAGCCTGGATCAGGACAGTTATATCAGAGGAGCGAGGAATTCTGGGAAAAGAAACCTGGGGTGGGGTGGGGTGGAGAAACCCAATACCTTCATTTGGATCAAAAAGGAAAGGAGACCAAGAAGAAAGATTCGGGACATCTCCCGAAATCTCCTCGGAGCTTTCTGCTCCCCGAAACGCCCCTTTGCGGTTGTGTCTCCAGCACAAGCTCCGGTCTTCAAGGTCCCCCGTCCGCGTGGAAGGATTTACACCACGCCTGGGAATCACGGCCACGCGCCCGGCTCTGCACACACTAGGAGCATCCCCACCACGGGGGTGCCGCGATTCTCATCCGGCTCCTCGCATGTGCCACAGAAGAGGCCACGGTTCGAGTCTGGCTTTCTCGGGCTAGGAAACGGCCCCTTCGACTCCCGACGGCGCGGAGCACCACCACAGCCGGAGGGCATTGTCTCCCCGCGCCCGAGGAGGGGTGGCTGGATGGTCCCCTCCTTCTTCCGCCTCGTCCTCTCCGCTGTCCAGAAGGTCGGGAAACTGGCGCTGGCCAGAGGCTGTGGCCAACAAGGGGAGGCTGGGGTGGAGGCTGAAAGGAAGAGGAAAGAAAGATCAGGAGGAATCAGGGTTGGCACAGCTGCCCCAAGGAGCCACATCTGGAATGCCTGGCCTGCTCTTCTGGACCACAGCTGGAGGAGCTATTAGAAAGAGGCTGAAGAAGCACCAGAAGCCACATTAATGCCACGCAGGGAGGTGCGGGGCTCTGCTACAGATCCACAGGATGGGAGGAAGGTCCACTGCCTAGGTGGAACCGAAAACTTTTATTTTACTTATTTTATTTCCTATTTTTGATTCTATTCTTCTTCTTAATCAATTCTATTCTATTCTAATTCTAAGCTATTCTCTTCCTTTCTCTTCTGTTATAATACTATACTTTTTTTATAATTCATTCTCTTCTAATTCTATTCTGTTCTACAATTCAATTCAATTCGAATTCTGTTTTGTTCCGTTCTGTTCTAGTCTATATATTCTATTCTAATCTAGTCTATTATTTAATTCTATTCTGTTCTGTTCTATTCTGAATTTTGTTCTGTTGTGTTCTGTTCTATACTGTATTATATTCTATTTTCTAGTCTAGTCTATTCTTTAATTCTATTCCATTCTGTTGTTGTTTCATTCTAATTCTATTCTATATTTTATTATTCATTCTATTCTGTTCCATTCCGTTCCACACTATGCTATTCTATACTTTATTATCTATTCTAATTTTAATTCCATTCTAACCCTAACCCTATCCCTATCCTTTATTAAATTTATATGGTGCCCACGTCACCACCAAGCGACCCAGAAGAACAGTTTTCCTTCTCCAAATCTGGCCCGTGGTGAACTTCAACTCCCAGAATCCCTATCGAGCACAGCTAAGGATTCTGGGAGTGGAAGTCCTACTCATTGGGAGGGAACAGAGCAGACGAAGCTGTTCAAACAGTACTTGCATGGGGGCCCATAAGTGGCACACGGCACACACATAGGGGTTATGAGAGGGCACGTAAGGGATCTATAGGGTACCCAGAGGACACGCAGATGGCACAAAGGCCACCAGGTTCCCTCCTTCGGAATATCAGACCTGAGCTATTTATTTACTTATTTATATATCTATTTATTTACTAGTTTGATACCCGTGCTTCGTTACGAACTTATATGGTTGGGCTTAATTTTGGGGGAGGAAAATATGGAGGGGGGGGGGGAAATTCTGCCTCTGCCTACCAGCATCCATCGGTATTCATCTGGCTAGCGTCCTGTCGGCATGTGAGAGAGTGAAGGGCTGTTTGGAAACTGAAAGGGTATTTGCTGGGTGAGCAAGGAGACAGCAAGGAGCCTGGGCGTGGCTTAGCTCAACCGTTCTGTCCTAAAGCTGCTTGGTGCTGTGAAACTGAAAGTGAAACTCCTCTGCTTGTGTTTTGCATTTGGAAAAGATTTCTTCCCAGGTCGGGAGGGGGAGTCGAACTCCTTAGCATCAGAGCGTGTTAATAATAATAATAATATAGGAAATTCTAATGCTCTGAGGGTCATTTGGAAAAAAATCCTTTCTTAGTGAGCCCCTAGAAGCCAAGAGGAACATAACGTGCCAAATTTCAAGTTTGTAGGCTTTACGGTCCTGGAGATTTTGTGATGATGCGCGAGGAGTATTTCCCTTTTATATAGATAGATAAGATATATCTGCTCCTTTTCTTGTCACCCAGCAACCTGGCAACCTTTGGCGGCTTCCAACAACTGTTTTCTTTCTCCCCAGCTGGCACATGGTAGACTCCAACTCCCAGAATCCCTTTCGAGCACGGCCATGGGGCTCTTCCTGACAAGTTGGGACTTCAACTCCCAGGATTCCTTAGCTGTGCTCGAAAGGGATTCTGGGAGTCGGAGTCCAACTTGCTAGGAAACCAGAGAGCCGAGGAAGTTGGTCCAAACGGGGTCTTCTCTGCTTCCCATCTTCCCCAGAAAATAAGACCCAACTGGAAAATAAGCCCTAGCACGATCCCCCCCCCTCGGATACTCGTAATATAAGCCCTACCCCGAAAATAAGCCCCGGTTAAGATGGTCAACCAGACGGGAGCATTTAGCACACCGTATTTCCCCCCCAAAAAGAAGACCTAACTGGAAAATAAGCCCTAATGTGTCTTTTGGAGCGAAAATTAATATAAAACCGGGTCTTATTTTTGGGGAAACAAAGAGTATTTGGGGAGCAGCGCCATCCCAGGGGGGAGGGGAAGTGTATCCGATACCCTGATACACACTCTGAAAACTTCGGAGGCCCCTTCTCGCCCCACAAACCCCTGTGGGATTAGAGAGCCCAGTTCGAACCCCGGCAGCAGAATTCGTACCTGATCCCGTTCACACAATCTCCCACGGCCTGGAACCGCAGCAAGGGATGCAACGTAGCTGGGGGGTCCTCGGGGGGAGGCTGGCTGGTGTCCCAGACTGTAATCTGGCCACTGGTGTTCCCACTCAGCAAATACCGCCCACTCCTGTTTGGGGGAGGGGGAGAAGCACAGAAAACCGGCTTGAAATACAGCTAGCCCTCGACTTACGGCCAAACTGGGAGCCCCCAAAGCACCGTCGCTAAGCAAGAAAGCCGTTAAAGTGAGTTTCTCCACCCACCCACCCCCGTTTTACGACCTTTCTTGGCGGTTCAGTGAATCGCTGCCGTGGTTACGCTAGTCAGGGACTGGGAGGGTTGGACTAGGTGGCCCCGTCCCACTCTTCCGTTATTGTCCTTCCCACCGTTAAGTGAATCTGGCTCCCCCCACCGCTCGTCGGAAGGTCGCCAAAGAGGATTGCGTGTCTCGCACACACACACACACACATATGCCCCCCTCCTGGGATGCTGCGACCATCGTAAAGTACGAGTCAGTTGCCAACTGTCTGAATTCCGATCATGGCCCCTCCAACAATTTACATGAAGTTACAATGGTCGTAAGTGTGAAACAGCCGTTAAGTCACTTTTTTTTCAGCGCCACTGTAAACTTTGGACGGTCACTAAACGAAACCATGGTAAAGTCGAGGAACGGCCTTGTATCGCTCTGAGGAACCAAGCGCATGGCTGGGTTGCGGGAAACGCAGCACCATTTCCGGGGTCTCCACCCCAGCCTCATCTCCCCTTCTGGCGGTCGCAAGCCAAGGAATCGCTTGCGGGCCGTCAAGCCGGGGTCAACGCTTAGCGACCTCATTTAAGTAGTCCTCAGCTTTATGACCTGCTGCTTAGTGGCTGTTACAAATTACAAATGGCCCGAGAGAAGTTCCGGCTGTCATAGAACGTCATATTGGCCTTCCTCACGTCAATGTCGTAGCATCAATCCCGCTGTTGATGACCAACGGTAGCGGACGTCTTACGACCCAACTAGGTAACGTCATCAGCGCTTATAAGGGAGTGAGGTTTGCTCCCTGTTTATGTAGACTAGCTGGCCTGGCCCGTGTTGTGGTTTTCTTCTCAGTAGTTCTTTTAGGAGGGTATTGTTTCCAGCTTGGTTGTTTGTCTGGGGTTAATCCCTGCTTATCTTGAGTGTCAGTGGCTGGGCAGTTGTGTGTGCTGGTCTCTTTGTAGCCCTAATGGGGTAACCTAGCTGGGTCACGAAACGTCTGCAAGGTAACTTTTTTCTTCCTCCTCCTCCTCCCCCCCGTCCTCCTCCCCTCCTCTTCCTCCTATCCCCCTCTTCCTTCTATCTCCCTCTTCCTTCTTCCCTTCCTCCTATCCTCCCCTCCTCCTCCTTTCTCCTTCCCCCTCCTCCTCCCCCTATCCTCCCCTTCCTCTTTCTCTTATCCCACTCTTCCTTCTCCCCTTCCTACCCTGCTCCTTTCCCCTCCTTCTTCTGTCCCGCTCCTCCTTCTCCTCCTCCTCCTATCGTCTTCCCCTCCTGCTCCTCTTCCTTTCTCTTCCTCTCCTCCTCCTCCTCCCACTCCTGCTCCTCTTCCTCCTTTCTCTTCCATTCTTCCTCCTCCCATCCTCCCACTCCTGCTCCTCTTCCCCTTACCCTGCTCCTCCCCTTCTCCTATCCCCCTCCTCCTTCTCCCCTTTCTTCTATCCTCCCTCTCCTCCTTCTATCATCATCCTCCCCTCCTTCCCCTCTTCCTCCTCCCCTCCTCCATCTCCTATCCCCACCGTCCTCCCCTTCCTCTCCTCCCCCTTTCTCCTCCTACCCTCCTTCCCTCTCCTCCTCCTCTTCCTCTCCTCCTCCTCCCCCTCTTCCTCATTGTCTTCTCCTAATTCCCCCCCCCCCATTCTGCTTCTCCTCCTCCACCAATCCCCGCTCCCTCTAGCACAGATGCCGTTCCCTAGACGGGTCACGAAATGTCTGCAACCCAAACCTCCCAGCTCAGAGACACCCCCACCCCCGTGGGCCCCCCCCCAAGAAAAAAACCCACCTCCACCAGGGCAGGAGGAGGGGTGGGCGGGGGGAGAAATCTCCTCGGGACGATCACTTACGGATCCAGGTCAAAATACATCCTCTGGTTGGTGGACACTGTGCGGGGGAGCGAGAAGACGATTTCGCCCGGCTGCCGGAGGTCCCAGCAGAGAATCTCTGCGTCCTGGCCGGAGGGATTGAGACGGCTTTAAAAAAAAAAAGGAGGAGGAACGCGCCCGGCTCCCTTCTCCCGTCCCCCAACCAGTCACACACCCCGGAACCGGGTTCGAGAGACCGACACCTGCCGTGCCAGGACCTCGGGTCTCACCTTACGACCGCCGGTAAAGAGGTAAACGCCATCCGGGGAGAAGACGGCGTGGGTGACGCCCCCGCGGTGCCCAACAAGCATCGCCAAGGGGTCTCCCTCGACGAGGGAGTAGAGGCCGACGGTCTTTGCATATGAGGCACAGGCGTAGAGGGGTTGCGTCGGGCTGAACGCGATGCAGGAGATAATCCCGCTTTGCCCTTGTTTCTTTGCTGGGGGGGGGGGAAAGAGGGCGGGAAATGGCATTTTAGACACGCACACACCCTTAATTAAGAATAGAATAGAATAGAATAGAATAGAATAGGAATAGAATAGAATAGGAATAGAATAAAGAATAGAATAGGAATAGAATAAAGAATAGAATAGAATAGAATAGAATAGAATAGAATAGAATAGAATAGAATAGAATAGAATAGAATAGAATTAATAATAAAATGTAAAATTAGATAAGAATAGAATAGAAAATAAAATAAATAAAATAGAGGCATAGAGAACAGAACAGAACAGAACAGAATAGAATAGGGAATGGAAGAATGGAATAGAAATAGAAAAGAATAAAAAAGAAAATATTGAACAGAAAAAATATAGAATAGAATGTGGAATGGAATAATAGAAATAGGAATACAATAGAAATTAGGATAGAATAAATAGAATAGAAATGTATAGAATAGAATAGAAATTAGGATAGGATAGGATAGAAATAAGAATAGAATAGAAATAAGAAGAGTATAGAATAAATAGAAGAGAAATAAGAAGAGAATAGAATAGAATAAAAATAAGAATAGAATCTTATTTCTAAAGAAGATTATAGAATAGAACAGAAACAGTAGCATAGAAATAAGAATAGAACAGAACAGAAATTATGACAAGATAGGATAGAAATAAGAATAGAATACAATTGTACACAATAGGACAGACTAGAAATAAGAATAGATTAGAATTAAGAATAGAATAGAACAGAATAGATATTAGGATAGGATAGAATAGAAATAAGAATAGAATTGAATAGAACAGGGTTAGGGGTCCCAAATGCCCACATTTTCTATCATATGACCGCGGGAGACGGGACACTAAATGTGGGGGAAAGGGGAGGGCAAGTCGCTTTCCCCCCCGCACTGCTGTCGTAACTCCAAAAACGGTCACTAAACGCATGGTCGTAAATCAAGGACTACTTGTATCGCATTAACACCCTGCATTTCCTTCCGTTAAAATCAGGAGTCGGCAACCGACGGCTCTGGAGCCACATGGGGGGGGGGAGACCTTGGCTTTCCCCCTCGAACCCGAACTAGACACCACCACCCCGCGACTCACCGAACGTCGGTCGGTTTTCACACGACCGTCCGGGCCGCGAGGTGTCGAACACGCGCACCGTCTTGTCGAAGCCACAAAAGAGCCGGGCGCCATCCGGAGTGAAGCAGAGCGAGTGGGCGGCGGTCAGCTCGTCCTGGAACGGAAGGACAAGACTGGAGGTCAAGCTCTATCCAGAAGGGATAGAAGAGGCCTTGGAGGTCATCTAGCCCAACCTGCGCACCCCCACCCCCTCCCTCCGCCCAGAAAGGGGACCCTACATCGTTTCTAACTGATGGCAGTCCGGTCTCTTCTTTAAACTCTTCCAGGCCCTCTTTGTGTGTGTGTGTGTGTGTGTGTGTGTGTGTGTGTGAGAGAGAGAGAGAGAGAGAGAGAGAGAGAGAGAGAGAGAGAGAGAGAAAGAGAAAGAGAAAGAGAAAGAGAAAGAGAAAGAGAAAGAGAGAGAGAGAGAGATTGTAGAGCCTCAACCTCCCAGGAATTTTTTATTTGGGACTTTTAAAAATTAGGTTGCCTTCATTACAGAACAGAACCAAAGATGGGTTGGAAGGGAACTTTAGAGGTCATCTAGTCTAACCCCCCGCCCAAGCAGGAGAGTCTACACCATTTCTGACAGAGGGCAGCCCAGTCTCTTCTTGAAAGCTTCTAGTGATGAAGAAGCACCCACAACTTCTGGTGGCAGGCTGTTCCACTGGTTAATTGTCCTCGCTGTCAGAAAATATCCCCTTAATTCCAGGTTGCTTCTCTCCTTGGTTGGTTTCCGTCCGTTGCTTCTCGTCCTGCCTTCTGGTGCTTTGGAGCATGGCTTGACTCCCTCTTCTTTGGGGCAGCCCCTGAGATATTGGAACCCTGCTATCATGTCACCCCTAGTCCATCTTTTCATTAAACTAGACACACCGAATCCCAGCAACTGTTCTTCGTGTGTTTCAGCCTCCAGTCCTCTAAAATCCTCTTTGTTGCTCTTCTCTGCACGCTTTCCAGAGCCTCAACATCCATTTTTTGTATCATGGCTACCAAAACAGGATGTGATATCCCAAGTTTGGTTCATTAGATAGATAGATAGAAGATAGAATTCTTTATTGGCCAAGCGTGATTGGACATACGAGGAATTTGTCTTTGGTGCATATACTCTCAGTGTACATAAAGAAAAAAATCAAGAATTGAAATCATTAAGAAAATATTGGAATGTGCTGAAATGAGTAGGTTGACATTTGAAATTAGAGAACAAGAGGATAAACAATTTTACAAAATTTGGGACCTTTTCTATCAATGGTTAGGTAATAAAATATAATAATGGAATATGTAGAATTTTAGAAAATAATGAATATATAAAGATGTTTTTTTCTTTCTTTCTTTTTATTATTATTTCTACAAAATGTTTTTAGGATAGATTTGGGAGGATTATATGAATTGTTATAAAATAAACTAAGTAAATTATAGTTATCTCGCAAAGTATGAATGAACAAAATTATTGTCAAATGATTAATAATGATACTAGGGTATTCAATTCTTGATTGATAATATGAGCTATTATGCAATGTAACTGTAATTGAGACTATGAAATGGATGCACAAAGAAATTTGTAAACCAACCGACACACTGCTTGTATACTTATGGAAGAAAGTTGGATGTTTTTATGTTTTGTTTGTTTTTGTTTGTCTTCAAAAACCAATAAAATTTACAAAAGAAAAAAGAAAAAGAAAAAATCAAGAATTTATCAAGAATCATAACACTTAGTGCTAGTAATAGGATACTAAATAGGCGATCAACACAAGTCACACTAGGAAAATAAATGAAACCATATAAATCGTAAAGACACAAGCAACAAAGTTATAAGTAGAAAAGGAGACAGGTAATAGGAAGGGTGAGAAGAATCGTAATACAATCTTAGTAGATAGTTTGACGGTGTTGTGGGAATTACTGTTTCCCCGAAAATACGACTTTACCCTGAAAGTAAGCCCTAACCCCCAAATAAGCCCTAATTAAGATTCCCACCCACTCCAGAGCAGATGAGTAAAAGTTAAACTAGGGTGGAGATGGGGGAGTGGAGATGCCCTACTACTTACCTTTGGACAGTTGTAGCCAGGGCTTCACACACACACACACACACACACACCCCAACACCTGCCTTGCCGCCCATTTCATCTGCCAGCCACAGAAGAAGGACTTCCGGAAGGAGGTCAGGGGCGACGCAGGCAAGCGAGGTTAGTCAGTGGAGGACATCCCTCGAAAATAAGACCTGGTGCCTTTTTTGTGTGTGTCATAGGATGCTAAATAAGCAATCCACATCAATCATACTAGGAAACTAAATAAAACAACATAGTCTAAAGATACAAGCAACAACTTTATAGCCGTAGGTAGAAAAGGAGATAGGTAATAGGAAGGGTGAGAAGAAGAATAGTTTTACAGTCTTAGTAGATAGTTGGACAGCGTTGCATTAGTCGTTGAGCAGAGTGACGGCATGCAGGGAAAAAACACTGTCTAGTTATTCTGGTGGGCAGGGCCTTATAACGTCGTTTTTGAGGGTAGAAAGTTGAAGCCATTTACGTCCTGGATGTGAGGGGCTCTGTAGATATTTTATTTCATTAACAGAACAAAGTGCAGACGTTGAATGATTAACCAGGGGATTTCATTCCTGGACAAGATAGAAAGCCCAGGAGGCTGGGGTGTGTGTGTGTGTGCGCATACGCATGTGAGTGGGGGAGGCTCTCACACCTACTCACCAGGTGGTTGTAGGGGCGAAAAGAGGCCCTGAGCTCCCCGCTGAAGGCATCCCACAGGTGGACGGGGTTGTCCCGGCTGCTGCTGGCCAAGCTGTATGAGGAAGAGAAGGCAGGGAAGGAAGAGGGATGAGGAAGGCTAGCATGGACCCCAAGCAAGGCAGGTTGAGGAAGAGGAGGCCGGGAGCACAAAGGAACCCACAAGACATACACAGGGTGCACAACTGACACGCAAGGGGTACACGGGGGGGGGGGAGTAGATATGTGGGTATGTACGTAATTCTTGCATTTGCTTATTTGTTTTGTCGTGTTCGAGTAGTGTGTGTTGGAGGTGGAGATCCTTTGAGAGCTGGATGCCACGAAGTTTCATTTTAATGTGTGTTGATTAGCGGACATTCAAAGGCACAATAAAGTTATTATTCTCTATTCTATTCTCTATTCTATTTTATTCTATTTCTATTCTATTCCTATTCTATTCTGTTGTTCTATTCTTATTCTATTCCTATTCTACTCTATTATATTTCTCAATTCTATTCTATTCTATTCCTATTCTACTCTTTTCTATTCTATTTCTCTACTCTACTCTATTCCTACTCTATTCTGTATTCTACTCTATTCCTATTCTACTCTATTCTATTTCTCTATTCTGTTCTTATTCTATTTCCATTCTATTCTATTGTTTTTCTATTCTAATTCTATTCTATTTCTATTCTACTCTATTTCTCTATTGTATTCTAATTCTATTCCTATTCTTATTCCTACTCTGTGCTATGCTATTATTCTATTCTTATTTTATTCCTATTCCCATTCTACTCTATTTCTCTATTCTATTCTAATTCTATTCCTATTCCTACTCTATTCTATTTCTCTATTCTATTCTATGCTATGCTATTATTCTATTCTTGCTCTATTCTTATTCCATTCCTATTCCTACTCTATTCCATTTTGAATTCTATTCTATTATATTCCTATTCTACTCTATTTCTCTATTCTATTCTAATTCTAATTCTATTCTATTCTACTCTACTCTATTTCGTCTGAAGTTACGATGGCGCTGAAAAAAGGGACTTAGGACCAGTTTCACACTTAACGACTGGGTGACTCACTTAAACAACCACATGGATTCACTTAACAACGATGGTCAGGAAGGCTGTAAAATCCATGATCACGTGATCAAAATTCAGACCCATCTCGTATTTATGATAGTAGCAATGTCCTGGGGGGGCGACGCGATCCCCCTTTGGTGACCATCTGACAAAGCCAAGCCCACGGGGAAGCCGGATTCGCTTAACGACTGGGCGACTTAATTTAACAACTGCAGTGATTCCCTTAACAACTGTGGCAAGGAAGATTGTAAAATGAGGCCAAACAATCGGGAGGCTATTGAGTTGAAGCCTACGTAGAGGCAGATATTTCTCTCCCTCTCTGGGAATACGATGAGAATATATCTGCGGAACAAAACTCCACATCAGCAACAGGAAGGGCATCCGGCCAGTAAAACACTCAAAACTCCATTCAGTTTCCCTGAGGTGTTTTTTTTTTAGGGTGGGCCCCTTTGGTTCTTCTCCCCCCCCCC